CCAGTAATGCTCCTGTTGTGGCTCCTGCGGCACAGCAGGTCCTTTTTTGCGGTCATTTGAACAACAGTGTTTTGTGTGAGCAATGACCGTTTGGCATATGGAAACTTTCAGCCGCAACCTCCATCACCGCCAGCTGCACAACAACCAGTGTTTCAACAAACTGCTCCTCCCGGTAGTCAGCAGTTTATTCCAAGAGGTGGCGCCAGCATTCCTCCACCACCGCCAGTCACTATTCCTCCAGATGTGCAAAATCAACTTATCAAATTCTTTGGATTGGACTCTTTCGGAATCCCAGGTCTCACTGGGAACCACCCTAACGGTTTTGCTGGTGCCGTACAAGTGAGGAAGTCCTATGAGAGGTTTTTAAAAAATAGAGCACTATTTTCCAGGAGCTGAGAGCAGCAGGAATTCCAGTGCAAGGGCTTCCTGCAGAGCACATTAACGGAAACGCTGTTTCACACGCTGCTCCTACTCAACAAGGTCAGTTTCCTTTGCAGTCATAAACCATTGTATTGTTTTACTATCCCTACTATCATTTTCTTGGACTTTAGTTTCTGCAGATGTCCTTGCGCAGGCGAACCCCAAATTCCAAGACCAAATCACACAGCTTGTAAACGAGGCTCGTAACTCTGGCCCCTATGAAGGAAATGGAGGCCATGTTCCCCTTCCAGCAGACAAACCAGGAGAGAACGGTTTGATTGGACTGCTATCAAACTCTATCCGTAAACTCGTGAAAGAGAGTAAGCATTTACATTATTGTCCCCGTCACGCAATAGTTCTTAAATGTATAGTGTTATAGCTGGTGTGTCTGATGCTCTGTCGCAGTCACTGCCCTCACTTTTGGGCTCGGGACACTCTTCATCCTCAAGTGCTCGACATGGAGCTGCTGCAGCTTCCGCTTCATCAGTTGACAGTCCAGTGGTTTCGCAGTCTATCGATGAAAACGCCATCACCAACCAAATTAGAGGAAAGGACATTCGTCGCCAACCTTCGACGGCACAGCGCGCACTGTCTGGAATATCATCCTTCCTTGGAGGAGGTGAGTTTCATCTCAGTCAAAGGAATTTTTAAGAGTCTGCGAGAGTTATAGTAAAAAATATTTATTAATAGGAGGCGGCAACACTCCAACTCACGCTGGGCTCCCAAGAATCCCGGGAATCCCACTTCTGCCTGGAGGAATTCCTCGCAACGCACAAGGACAGATCGATGTCGTCAATCTCATCGGTTAGAGCTAAAGTTTTTTTTT